AAGTTTTATTTCCAAGTTTTTTATCCATTTTTGGGTTGATTTTAATGTATGATGTGAGATTATGGTCTAGGTTCATTCTTTTACATGTGCAGCCCAAGTTTTCCAACATCATTTATTAAAAAGACTTTCCTTGTTTCATGTGTACACTTTGTTCCTTTGTCATCTATTGTCCATAAATGTATAGTTTTATATTGGGGTTCTCAATTCTATTCCATTGCTCTGTGTGTCTTTTTATTTCAGTGTCATGCTGTTTTAATTATTATTACTTTATAGTATAGTTTGAATTCTGGGTGTGTGATACCTCATTTTTCCCCTTTTTGATCAGGAGAGCTTTGGCTACTCAGGGTTTTTTTGTGGTTCTGCATGAATTTCAGTAATCTTTGCTCTATTTTTTTGAAGAATGCCACTGGATTTTTATTGGGATTGCATTGAATCTGTAAATTGCTTTGGATAGGATGGCCACTTTGACAGTATTGATTCTTCCAATCCACGAGCAGGGAATATCTTTACATTTATTTGTATCTTCTTCTATTTCTTTTAGCAATGTTTTATAGTTTTCCTTATATAAGTCCTTCACCTCCTTTGTAAGGTTTATTGATTTAATTTTTGGGGTGATATTATAAATGCATGGCTATATTAATTTCTTCTCTTTTTTGTTTATTACTTATAAGTATGTATATGGGATTAGCAACACACATAAAGCTGATATTTGTATGTTGATTTTGTATCCTGACACTTTGCTTAACTAGTTGATTCAATTAGTTTTCCCGTGGAGTCTTTGGGATTCTCTATGTGTGTTGTTATATCATCGGTAAATAATGATAGCTTTACTTCTCTCTCAATTTGAATTCCTTTTATTGTTTTCTTTTGCCTAATTTCTCCAACTAGAACATTTAATACTATGCTGAATAATGGTGGTGAGAGTGGACATCCTTTTCTTGTATCAGATCTTAGTGGAAGTGCTTTCAATTTTTTACGATTGAGGATGATATTAGCTGTGGGTTTGTTGTATATGACTCCTATTATTTTAAGATACATGCCAATTTTTCAAGGGTTTTCATTGTAAAAGAATGTCTGGAGATATTTGTGGCTATCACAACAGTGGGGCTGGTATGGCACTGAGGAGTCAGGGCAGAGAAGCTACTAAGCATCTTAAAATTTCATAAGGCAGACCCCACAATGAAGAATTATCTGGCCCCAAATACAGAGGTTCAGAAATCCCAGGTTAGAGCAATTCTTTAGGGATGGGGCCAGGATCAAGGCATTGCCAGCGTTCATGACTACTGACACATGGTTCTATAAAATGCATCTGGGCAGGATAGTAGGACAGCAAAACAATATCTTCTGTAGAACTTTTTCCCTCTCTCTCTGTCTCTCTCTGTCTCTCTCTGTCTCTCTCTCTCAAACACACACACACACACGCACACACACACACACATACACACACACACGAGACGTTAAACAATTAATGGAACTGGAAATGCTTTTCAGTGAACATTCCTATGTGATCTGAATTTCAAATGATGGGATGGGATTAGCATCTTGAAATTTATATTGCTCAGTTCTTAGCTACAAGATGTACAAACATGTTGCCAAAAAAACTTCCTGGTTTAGCTGTATACATTTTCTATTTTCTTCAGAGCTTTATTGAGTTTGTGTAAAATTGGAATTTGGACTAAATTGGAGATGGACTAAATCCTACCTGAAATGCCCATTCTGTGCTATGTTATAGCCAACACTGTGCCCGTTTAACAGCTGTAACTTGGACAGATTGAACAATGAGTTCAAGAAGTAGAAATAGCTGTGCTTAGTATAAAGCAGTTGAAAAAACACTGGTTCTCAGCAGTGTTAGCCTTATGGTCTGCTCACTCTATATCCTCTTGGGACTATCCTTTAAACTGTTTCTACAATCTAGTATTTATCTGTAAATTAGCCATGAATCCATCTAAGTCCTCTTAGAAGCAGTTAATAACTTCAAGTTGCAAAATGTGGGGTATTTCTTGATAGTTCCATTGTATTTCCCACTGTTATATAAAGTGACATTTACCCCCTGCCCACCTTCAAGATGTGTACCTGGTTTGTACTCTAATTATTGTATTTTTACTCGAATTTTGTAATCTGTTTTTCCCTGTCTCAAAACAAATAACCACCTGTTCTTCATGTCTTGAGTCACACTATGACGCTGATAAATAAGAAGGGTAAATAAGAAAAGTACAATTATCATATTTTTGACAAAATAGTAATCAAGTGGAAATATTTTAATATTATGTTAGCTGAAAAAAGTGAAAATACGGAGTATGATACTATTTTTGTTTAAGAAACTTCTGAATAGTATAAGAATCTGAAAAAAAGTAGTAGTGGTGTAGTTTGCATGTTCTGTGCAGGGTCTCATCAATAGCCAACAAGACTCAGAGAATGGGCTAGAGTTAAAAACTGCTTATTCAAGAAGCTATTTCCAACATAGGTTACTAGCTTACATTGTCTCAATGCCTATATGCATGCCACCTTCTGGAAACGGGGAGCATTTCACCAGTAAAAGACCAGCAGTAGAACTTTGTAATAAAACTGAAATTGGAATTATTTATGGAAATTAAAAAAAATAATATTTAATTTTGAACATTGTGGATCACCATGATTTTGTTAGACCACAAGAGAGGCTAATTTAATATAGTCAGAGATGACAGGTTATATACTTGTCCTCAATAAATTGGCCATGGTAAAAACTATTTTTAAAATGCTGAAAGACTATCCAAAAGTAAGTTTTAGGAAGTAGAAAAAAAAAACAACAAATACAGCAAACTTTTAAAAGGCTAAAAAAATGATGTAAATTTCCATTCCTGTTTGTCTTCCTGCTTAATCAGAATTAACACAATGCTGAAATAATGTCTTTATTTCCCAACAATGTCTACATCTAGAAACAGGAACTCAAATGGGGCTGTAAATCAAAATATGTTTAAGAAAAATACCACGGGAAAAAAATAACATTGCAGATTTACATTTACAATGTGAAAATGTACCTACACATGCAAACATAAAATAATAGGGCATTTAGAAATTTATATAACAATATTAAAAGGTCTGCAAGGGTAGCTAGAGGCCTTAACCCTTGGGGAAGTGGGGGAGACAACCAAGGGAGCTTGATCTGTAATATTCTATTTTTTCAAAAAAGAGAATGACTTTATCACTTATGTAATTTAGAATACAAAGATAAAGAGAATTTTGCTTGCTAAAAAACCCCCATCCTATTATATAGTTGTATTTTATGATATAGTGGATGCAACAGCAATGAATCATATTGCCTGATATCAATGCTGCAATTCTGTGTGTTGCCAAATGCAAAATATCTAGAAAGTGCGCAGCTCTACTTTGTAAAGTGCTTTCAATTAGAGTTTTCTCGTGGCTAGCACAGCTTCAGTCTCAGTTAAATTCTCTGGCATTAATAATTTAAAAATACTACTGCTTGTGACCTGCAAGAATAAGTTCCTTGATAAATATAAAGACTCTTTCTAGAGTAGCCAATTCGGAATTATCCAGTCAAAGGCCTATCTCAAGAGACCTTTTGGGCTATACTAATTCCAAGTAAACATCAATTCATTTTTAATATTGAATGCCTATCATTTGCAAAGCAGGCAGACTTGGGCTTAGTCTGTGAAACAAATTGGATAGGTGGTAATATTAGAATGAGTAAACTCTGTAGCTTATAGAGTATGGACCCAGCACACAGACTTAAGCTTGAGTTTTAATTTTCATTGCACCACTCACTAAATGTATGACTGGTGCAAACCATGGTGATACATACTATTTCATAGAGTTGTCAGGAGGGGAAAGTGAGATTATTGTAATCAATTTGGTGCAGTGCTAGTACTTTGTTAAGTATGCAATTAATTCAGTTAATCCCTTTGCTACCCAAGGAATGGATGAATGTATAAAGAGTGCTCTTTAGATTGTTTCACACACAATTTATTTTGCCTTTATCAAAACTCTTAGAATTTTTCAGAGTGCTGTTTATTTGGAAGTTTTAATATTATTTGCTCTTGTTAATATAATTTTCTGAGTCCCGATTAATTTTCAAGACTCACACAAAACTGGAGGCTGGACAGGCTTTTGAGGTTATCTGGTAGATGGTCACAGGAGATGACTTTTACCCCCTTTCCACTGATATTTGCAACCATGAAATAAATACTATTTCTTGGACTTTTCTAGTTGCTGGTGGATTAACAGAAGTAAAATGGGAAGGAAGGATAGCAATTCATCAATGCAGGAGCTTTGGTTTTCTAATAATTGTAAAATGCATAATTGTAAGACATATTACTTAATATTTCTGAGTTGTAGTCTTTGGAATTGATAGTGCAGATTAAATGAGATTAGTGGGGTAGATGCTGTGTAAAATGAACACAATATTCAAATAGTGGATTAGGAAGGAGAGAAAGTAGTAGAAAATTACAGAGAAGGAGAGGGGAGAGAAACCGGCAGAGAAAGACCTAGAGAACTGTTAACAAGGCAAGTGAGAACGAAGGAAAACCAGTAATGACGCTGTGACTACTGCGGTGACTGCTCTCCCAACACTGAGCAAAGACAAATCGGCAGGCACGTTGTTAGAGCTTTACGAGCACACTCTCACAGTAACCTCACAACATGTCCATGAGACCAGATTCTATTTTTTTCCTCATCTTGTTGAAGAGCTATCTGAAGCATAATGAGTTGTAACTTTCTCAAGGTTTTCTTATAGTTGGAAATTGGTCGAGAAAGGATTCAAACGCAGATCTGTTTACTTGTACAATGTGTCAAAATCACTTTTAAGAACCTCGAATGAGCCTTGGTGGGCCTGAGGGGGGCTTTTTTTCGGGTTTTCCAAGTTTTTCCTGAGTTCAATTCAAGAATTACAAAGCCACCTAGCCGCGAACATTTTCCTCCAGGTCACGAACAGCGTCCCATCCCCATGGAGACCTACGTGGGCGGGACTTCCTGTCAACGCTAGCGCACTTCCGCCTCGAGCCGGAAGTGCCGTGGGCGACAGGACTGGCGCGCCGCGTGGGGACTGCTTGGGCAGTTTGGTGCCCGGGTAGCGGCGACTGTGAGAGTGACCGGCGCGGGCACCTGAGTTCGGCGCGGAGATGCTGACTCCCGCGTTCGACCTCAGCCAGGACGCCGACTTCCTGACTGTCGCCATCCGCGTGCCTTACGCCCGGGTCTCCGAGTTCGACGTTTACTTCGAGGGGGTCGATTTCAAATTCTACGCCAAGCCGTACTTTCTCAGGCGAGTTCCGGTGTCTGGTTTCAGGAACACTTTATTTTGGAGATTTATTCCTTCTTTCACTTGACAAATGACTGCTCGTCGAGGGAGGATGAAAGATCGAGGGGAACACTGCTAACCTACTTGGGCCGGTTCACAGCCGTCTTTCGGCAACTTGGTGGTCCCTGGCTCCAGGAGGTCACCATAGTGACGCCGAATTTAGTGGGGACGCCCGATCGGCAAAGGGCGTCCAGCCAGAACTCCTGGGCTCTAGCGATCCTGAAGTCTCAGCCTCCGCCTCCGGGTAGCTGGGACCACGGGCGCGCGCCACCACACTTGGCGAGGGAGTACTTTTAGGTTTAACAACTGCCCGAGATGCCTGCCCCTTATTCGGTGCTGAGGAAGTGACCTTTTTCTGGTGTGAGTTGCTACAGATGCAGCGGGAGCACATTCCCTTCCTAAACCTTCCGAATTCCCCATATTAAAGAGATTTCGAAGCCACTTTAAAAACTTGGTGTTTGGCAGCCTGTCAACTTTCCAGTTTCTGTCCTGTCACCAGGGACAGAAACTCTTCTGTCCCTTCCTTTTTCTGATCTTTTTTTTCGCTCTACCTTAATCCTCCTGCCTCTACCCTGCCCCATGATGGTCCTGGCTCACCAGCCCACTGGGCCAGTTGACTTCTCAGTCTCACGTTCTGTTTACCCTCCTTTTGACTGATTGCTCCATAATGCCTGAGATGCTCACCTCTTTGGCCCCCTTGACACCAAATTAGCCTACTTCTACCTCTTGGTAGTCTGCTCTTCCCTGGTTTCCACCCCTTAATTGTGGTTGATGTCCCGGATGTCTCAGGAGGGCTCTTCAGCACTTTATCAATTTGCATTTTTCTCCTTACAGAGCCCTAACAACAACAGAAGTAAAAGCTAACACCTCTCACCTCTGGCAGGGCAAACAAACAATGTGTATTATCTCATTTAACTTTGGCAACTCTCCTTGGAGAGAGACATTATTATTGGCCCATTGCATTTTAGCAAGGAGCACTGCCTGATATTTCTACCTAGAACATTGTCAGTCTTGTCCTGCCATTTCCTATTAGGTAAAATCCATAATAATGTTTCTCATTCAAATGTAGTACCACTACACTTGAAGTGTTTTTGGAAATGCAAACCTTCCTCTTGAGTCAACCTGATTCTTTCCCTGGACGTCAACCAGTTTTGCTCAGATAGCCTTTAGGCTCTCATTTAAGACAACCACTTGAATGTACTTTCTTTATTCATTTATTCCTCTGATGTATTTATTGAGCTCGTTGTGTATACTTCACTCTTTTTTTGGTATTGGGAATGTAGTGGTGCCTCATGTAGTTTACATTCTAGTGGAAGATTGAAAACAATAAACAAGCAAGTAAAATACTACATATGATGATAAGGCTACCAAGGAAAATAAAATGCACTGATAGAGAATAACTGGGGATCTGTGTTTCTGTCAAGTGGTCTGGAAAAGCCTTTCAAAAGCAATGATATTTCAATCAAGATATGCAGAATGGGAAGAAGACAATGGTGGTAGCATACATTTGTTGAATTTTTACTTCAGGTTAGTGCTTATTTTTTAAAAAAGATTTATTTATTTATTTATGCATACAAGAACTGGGGTACAGACCAGAGGTGCTAGGGGTGAGAGGATTCACCAGAGACAGAGTGGGGAACAGAACAGGCAGATCTACTGAAATACACTGCCGAGGGGAGCAGCGGGAGAGACAGGAGAGGTCTGCTGCACCTCCTGGTTAGTGCTTTATGTAGATTATCTCATTTGATTTTAGGAAAGTTCTGCAAAGTAGGTTCTATTATCTGTCCATATTGTAGACAAGGCATTAAAGGCTCAGAGAGAAGGTCTTAAGTGAGGTAGTATTGTACTTTAAAATAAATACAATAAAATAAAATTTCAAAGGAAAACCACTCAGCTTAGGTTTGGGAGTTTTAATAAAAACAAAATTAGAGGTTATGTGTGAAATTTATTTATTTATTTTAATCACATTTTACTGATTTGCCATTCATTTACTTAACTATATCATTTTGGAATTACAACTTCACTTTTCTACAAGGTCACTTGTTTCATGCACCCTGCACTAGAGCTTGGCCCACTACCTCCCCTTGTCAGTCTTACCTCCCCTTATTCCCCCTCCCCTTGTGTTCCCTTCTGGTAACCACTGTATTTTTTTAGAGTCTAAGAATTATTTTTGTTGTGCTTTACCGGTTTGTTTCCTTTGGTTTTTGTGTTCCGCAAATGAGTGAAACGATTCAGTAGTCTTTCACTTCTGATTCATTTTACTTAATGTAATAATCTCAGGATCCATCTATTTTATTCCAAAAGGTATTATTCATATTTTTAAAGAGCAGAATAGTATTTAATTGAGTATATATATGCCGCAGTTTCTTTGCTGTTCACCTGTCAATGGTGTTTAGGTTGGTCCCACACCTTGGTTATTGTGAATATTTCTGCTGTGAACTTCAGGTTCTTAAATTTTCTTGTATTAGTGTTTTCATATTCTTTGGGAAAATACACTGAAGTGGTTGCTGGATCAAATAGTTTTGTTTTCAGTGTTTTGAGGACCCTCCATTTCGTTTTCCACAGAGGGTAACTATTGACATTTCCACCAATAGTGGATGAGTGTTTCTTTTTCTTGCTAACATTTGTTTCCAGTCACTTTGGTGTGGGCCTTATCACAGGGGTGAGATGTTATCTCATTGTGGTTTTAATTTGCATTTCCTTTATAATAAGTCTCTTGAGAATGTCTTCTTTGGACAAGTGCCTATTTTGGTCTTTTGTCCATTTTTTTATTGGGTTGTTTATTTTTGTTGTTGAGTTGTATGAGTTCTTTATATATTTTTGAAATTATCCCTGTGTTGGATATGTGATATACAAATAAATATCTTCTCCCATTACATAGGTTCCCTGTTTGTTTTTATAGTTGTTTCTTTTGCTGGGTAGAAACTTTTTATTTTGATGTCCCATTTGTTTGTTTTTGCTTTTGTTCCCTTGGCCAGTTGGTTGAGTCCCAAAATACAACTCTGATGCCCAGGGGTGTATTTCCTATGTTTTCTGTGTATTTTGTGGTTTCAGGTTTTATATACAAGTTTTTAATTCATTTAGAATTAATTTTTCATGGAGTTAAATAATGGTCTAGTTTCATTTTTTGGTATGTGGCTGTCACTTTTTTTTTTTTTTACAGTTTTCTTTTCTTTATTTTTTTAAAGATCTATTATTTATTTATTTATTTATTTTAAAGATTTATTTATTTATTTATACAAGCACTGGGTACAGTCAGAAGCACGGGAGGGTGAGAGAATTCACCAGAGACAGAGCAGGGAGCAGAGCAGGCAGAAGGACCGAGGTACACTGCTGAGGGGAGCAGCGGGCGGCAGGAGAGGTCTGCACGCCTTGTGGGACCTTCCTCCGGTGGCCAGGAGCAGCCAGGGATCAAACCAGCACTGCAGAGGCTGCGGGCAGCTTCGCAACCCAGTGCTCAACCGCTGCGCCACCGGGGAGGCCCAGTTTTCTTTTCTTTTTTTTTTTTTTTTAAAGATTTATTTATTTATTTATACAAGAAGCAGGGTACAGGCCAGATGCGCAGGAGGGTGAGAGGATTCATCAGAGATGAGTGGGAACAGAACAGTCAGACAACTGAAGTACACTGTTGAGGGGTGCAGCGGGCGCTACAGGAGAGGTCAGCTGCACCATGTGGGACCCTTGCTGGCCGGCTGGGATTGAACCAGCGCTGTGGAGGCTGCGGACAGCTTCACAGCAAGACACTCAACCGCCTGCACCACCAGGGGAGGCCCTGTCCTACTTTTCTAACACCATTTGTTGAGAGGCTTTTCTTTTTCTGATGAGAAATGATGGCTCCTTTGTCACACATTAACTGTCTGTGCTTATGTTTATTTCTGGACTTTCCATTCTAGTCCATTGGTGTGTTTTTATTTGTTCTGATACCATGCTGTTTTGATTATTATCACTTTGTAGTATAGCTTGAAGTTAGGGGATGTGATACTTCCATTTTTCTTTCTTTTTTTCTTTCCTGTTATGCTTGCTTTGCCTATCATGGTCTTCTGTTTCATGCAAATTTATTTTTTTTTAATTTTATATAGTTTTTTAGATTTTTGACACTTGGTTACATAAACATACTTATTTGTAAATTTAGTCAATATAAATAATTGTCCTTAAAACTTCAAAACTACTGGAAAGCTATCTCTACAGTGATTTTTCCTGGGTATGTGTACCAGATGTAGCTCAACCCAATACCCTCTTAGAGGTTATTCAATAAGTTGGAACCGTGTGCATAGCAAATTTACTCTGAGGGTTATAATATACAACCACCACAAGGAAAAGAACTTCTGTATTGTTTCCTTTTGGTAGAGAAAAACTCAGCCTAATTTTGAGACTAACCATAATACAATGCAAAGCTGTATCAACTAGTTTAGAATATTAGTAATATATGCTGTTGGTGTGAATAACTTGTCTTATATTCTAAAATCATTATAAATAAAATCCATCCATTAGTGTTTGCATTATCATTTGGAGGGTTAGTTAAAATGCGGTAGAATGAATAATTAAGCTAGATATAAAATGTAAAAGGCATTTTTACCATTATGAAAACAAGTGCAGTCTAGTTAGTGGAAAACCAACTGGACTGTAAATTTCACATACCTTCATAACAATACTCCTCATCACATGTGATTGTAAAACATTTTATTTAAAACTGATGAAACTAGTGAAATAACTATTTATTAAATGGACATATTAGATTGCATAGTGGCCAAGCTTACCTTTTTTTTTTCTCTCTTTTTTTTTTAAAGGAAACTCTAAGTCACATTGTGGTTACAATTTGTGTCTTCACCCTTGAAAAAGCCCACATTCTATCACAGTGATGTACGGTCAGACATAACCCCCATTATTAAAAACTTGGATCAACTTATAACCAGCTTTATTGCAAAAGGACCCTGCATATATTTATCAATCTCAGCACCTTCGTA